GCAATTAAGACTGAGCCAATCCTCTGTGACTCTCAGCCAGTGGCATAATAAAATAACCACGCTCGTATCTTTTTCTAACACAGAACAACAATCACCTCTACAGCAAAAGTCTTTTATTAAAAAATCACAGCACGCAGATCCTTTGGCCAATAAAGGCATACATGAAAGGACAGAAATACAGATACAATACGCTTAATTACCAGGAGTTTTCATCATCACAGAGAGCTTCAGGTTTCTAGCAGTTTATTCCCTATATAAACGCTGAGCAAATAAACCGTGTGCCACACCCCCAAACCCCAAACCCAAGTGATGTGGCTGCAAAAAACAAAATGTGCAATTTCATTCAATCGTTTAAAAGACACTCAGCACAGTACCCCACGTTAATTCTGTTTCATAAAGGCACACTTATTATGTAGCATCCTTCAGCTTCAGACAGGCTATAAATATCAGACTGAGCCATTTCCAAGTTTTACTAGACATCACCTAAATAGTCTGTATTAGAAAGTCATAACTGGCATATTACGTTGGCATAAAGTAGTTCCAGTTCCAAAGTAAAAGCTTATCTTACACAGGTACATGTAGCAACAGATTTGAGTCTTGCAGAGAGTGTGTTCTGAGTAAAAGATAGAGCAGGGTAGGTGGTGACAGTTTGGCAAGCACACAGCAAGACCAAAAAACTATTTCAACTCTGATGCTGGAGCTGAATAAAAACTACTAGAAATATAACTTTTAATCACCTTCCCATGCTGCTGGGTTTAATCAAATCTGCAAAGCTAACACACCTTGGCCCCCGAAACATTAGTGTTAACAGATAGGAAATACAAATTTAAATGCTCAAAAAAAAACTGAGGCATTTCAGCTACCGAAAATGTAGTATTTGTCACAAGTCTGACACGCAGAAGCTGTATCTGAGCAAACGTGAACAAGGCTAGACATTCCCAAAATGTTCAGTTACAGGAACAGTCATTTCTGAATTGGTTTTGGTTTTTTAAAAATCTTGAGCTGACTATAGGAATTCTTGGAAGCCTGAGGGATTTTTAAGTGGGATTGTTAGTTTATTTAGTATGGAAATTAATGTTTTAGCTCCTTATTTTTACACACTGAAGTAATTAAGTCCTGTTGCGTGTAACTTAAAAAAAAATTCACTTGAAAATAAAGTCAACTTTCTAGTTGAATTTATGCCATTGTCAGCTTTCAATATTTCAGTACCAAGTCTTAGATACAATCAGGGAGAGGACATGTCATGAACAATTAATTTATCTACTGTATCTATTAGCTCTGTAGAATACTAAATGCCTGGATTTAAAAATTAATTTTAAAATAATCTGTAAATAATAACAAAAAGCTCAATAGTGTTACAGATCAACTCAATCATAATCCTGAATGGATACCAACATCAGCTTATAGATCTGATGCAGTTGCCAAGCTTACAGTGTGTAACACGCTGATATCTAGAAAAGCTGAATGATAATTTTTCCCCATACTAACAGTAATACTAAAAACACAAATTATTTATGTAGAGAAAACTTGAAAACCAGCAGAAACACTATTTTAAAAAAATTAAAAGCCCAACGTATCACTAACTGATTGCCACTAAGAGTGCCTCTAAAAAAAGCAGGTAAATCTGTTCCTGGATAATTTTGTTTTCACCAAGGCCCACAACAAAACTTTCCAGTCTAATATAGCTGCTATAAAGATAAAAACCTAATTATTTCTCAGCAGCACTTAAACATCCTCCCAAAGGCTGGGACTCAGATTCCTCCTCCTGACTTGCAAGAGAGACAAAGATTACATCATGGTTTTCAAGTATAAAACCATCATACACTAAATTTCTGAGATTATGTCAGGAAATACAGGACCTGGTCCTGAGAAGATATGAAAGATCAGCCTTTATTTTCTACTTCTAAAATATTCAATTCCTATGTTGTTCAAAACCTGCTTTAGACAAAACGGCCTCAAAAATGAATTTTGGACTGAAACTTTAAATTTTAAAACTTTAGTGACTCACTCATGCAATACACAGATGTTTCTTGATTATTCAAAATAACATCAACAGGTCTTTCACGTGCAAATTCTTTCTAGTAAAATATATAAAAAAATTAATCCTCGTTACTGTTAATGAACTCGTTAATGTTTTTCTAGGTTTTTCCACACAACACGTGGGATGTCTGCTCTCTCCCAAATTATTCAATTTGCTTTTAAAATACCAAAAAAAAGTCTTTTACTTTTGTGGAATTTCCCAGTTAACTGGGATTGAAATCTAAGCACTGTGTTTGCAACAAAGGGGCATCTATTAAGAAAACTAAAACCACTTAGCAGAGGACCATAATCTGTTGAGAATTCCATGTTAATTTGTTTTGCAACTAGAGCAGAACACGGGTAACCTGAAATAGCAAAGGGTCCAACGAGGCTGTGTCAGACTGAGATCCAGATATCGAGTAGATCAGAGTGGTCACCATCATTTCTGAGCTTCATCTTGTGAGGGTGCAGGCGAGAGATCTGCCACGGGAGGTAATTCAGGGCGCGCGTCGTTTTCCTGACACTTGTGTAAGAAACTTATCAAAATAATGTCTTGACTGTTAATGATTTATGTTTATGATGCAAAATGTTTTCCATAGGGTGAAATATCAGATGGAGATCCAGCATTTTCCCACCATTAATTTTGCTAGCAGTGAAAAACACTTTACTGTTGGTTTTTTTTTGAGGGGTGGGGATGAGAGTTGTGGGCTGGGAGAGTCAAATTCAACACTGGAAACAACTTCCATGAACACGGTTATTGGTAGAAATGGATAAACAGCACATTCTTCCCAGCTTGCAGACTCCTGATCTGCAGTTCAAATCCCAGTACCTTAAATAATGGCTTGTATAATAACAGCAATAAATTCAAGCACTGCTTGATATGTAATTCTCATGGACGTTACAGTACCTCCTTAAACAAATTCAAAATGACATTTAACTATCTTATTTTTCCTATACATGATACATTTTTCAATAATTATAAATAAATACTCACATTACAAGCATTTAATCACATATATACACACAATACTAGTGAATCCCAAATGGCAAATAGATATTATTTGTTTAAAATGCTAAAACCAATTTAAATTTCTGGTAATCTTGTTAAATTTCTTGGTTTGGAATAGTACTATCTTGCTGAAAAGCACATCTGCCTATCTGTCAATACACAAGCATGCATTAGAATGGACACATGCTAAAATAACTTCTTTTTTTTCAGTATCTTAACTTTGTTTTAGAAGGAAGTCAAAGATTTGTTCAAATTTTCAAGACAGAGAATTACGATTCTCTGCAGAAGACTTTTCTTAATCCTCAATATTTTAGTTAAAAGAAGATAATAATAATAATAATAAACCTATACTTGATTCCTTTGGTATGAATTGCTAACTTGTTAATTTAAGAAACAAAAATACGGAGATATTGGCACCCTTTTATTTTTTTTTTTTCTTTTTCTTTGCAATTTGTCTCTTCCTGCAGGTGGGAACAGACACTGACCTAGGGAGAAGAGGAAATGAAATTGTATGAAAGTGCAGTGTGCAACAAACAGTTAAACTGGTAAGTGAGAACGTCCTTCAGGCATAAAAGTAACAACTCTGCTTGTACTGAAAGATCTGTAGCTAACAGAAGTTACTGGAAGTCAGTAGCTCTGTACTAGGACTGGGGAAAAAAAGGGTATTTCTGTGTATTAGAGCCCCTGCCATTCAAAAATGTTTGAATTACAGGCTCACCTAAAGGTCTGATGATAAGTAACATGGTGAAATTGTGCAAGTGATCTGTTCTACAGCCAAGAACGTCCTGTCTGCATTTGCTGCTCCGTACTGCCTCGGATGCTGACAAGCTCTGTCAGTACTAGAATTATTTGTAGTGTAGACAGGACTAAGGGGCATAATCCCATTTACTGACACATCACTTGAGCAATTAACTTAGACCTCCTGTAAAATTATTTTTAGTTCTGCTGTAAGGTACTATTGGAGAGGAGGAGGGAATTCTAGACATACAGTTTAGCTTCAGGCATCTAAATGTGACTGTTGAGGGATCAGTCTCCCTAGACTGCAATGTAGCTCCTGGAAAGAGAGACAATGTTCTACTCAAAGAGGAATTTGTGGGGTGGAGGAACCTATTTCTCTTGACTGCATGCAGAGTTTACTTTCTTAGCTGAGGTACCCACGTTAGAGCAATCTTGTTTGAACTCCAAACAGCTTCCACTGATCCAATTCTGCTATTTCACAGAAGTAATCCAGAACAATATCAATCTGAAGTCTACAACATCTGACCCAGTAGTAGCCAGTGAAATTACTTACTGTTGGGAAATGTTTCTTCATACACAGTGTGTTTGGAGGATAAGCTAAGAACAACACTTATGCCTAAGAACTGAAGGCTAGCTTTTTAGCATAACTGTTTGCCCCCCAAAATAAGATAATATATTCTATATCTGCCAAATACCATAACTCATCCACCTTTCTAAATATAGACTTTGTAGCTGCCAGATAATTTATGTACATGATGTCTTTAAAACAACAAAAAGCTTAGAGACAATTTACACAGAAAGTCTAATAATTCCATTCTTGTACATCAGAGCACTCGGCAAAGAAGAGACTCTCTCTCCTTCCTCTAATGTGAATATTCGAGGTAAAACTCTTCCCTTCACTCTCCTCCTTGTATCAATAACCAGCTACCTGTTCCCACTGGCAACAGCAACTGATTTTTGCAGCTCCATTAGAATCTTCAAACCTGGCCAAACTGACACTTGTTTCTTGCCAAGAAATAAACAGCAGATGCTAGTTCCACAATCTTATAGATAGCATAAAGGCCTGTCATCATCTTTAGCAAATAAATCCTAGGGCCTGTTAAAAATCTTCCAGCAACTTTTCATCCAAGTTCTCTCCCTCAAATTTTCTATACTATCCGTATTTTGCAACCTATTATTTGCCCTCAATCCTGCCACAGGAGCCTTCCCATGCTTTTTGTCATCTATTTCTTTTTTTTAAACATCTCTACATCATGCCACATCAGTAGCTCTTAGGAGTTTCAGGGTTTCATTGATCGTGACATAATGAATCGTGCAAAATCTTTTTTGAGTAATTTTTAAGCCCTAGTTACTGGGATTCTCCCCATGTAACAGTAACCAAGCTGAGAGTGTCCATCAACATTCTGCCCTTTTCTTCCTCGGGCTTTCACGGGATGCCATCCTTCCTTTGGCAACACTGTGAAGGAGGTACTCCCCAATCATACATGTAGGAAAGCCTGAGCTTAACCTCCTCCTTACAGAGCTTTCCTTCTTTAGCCAGGGTCTGGTGCTTTTCCAGCATGTCCTCGATGCTTTGCTTATGAGTTACTATGTACTTATTGTTGCAACCTCTTGACTTATATTCAGTGTCAAAGCGAGGGTCGTGCACTCTCTTCACGTCAATGGGAGCCAGCCATACCCCCAGGGAGACGTCTTCGCTCTGCCACATGTTCAAGTAGTCTCTGCTAAGACGCAAATAGCGCACCAGATCTGCAGAGATCACGTAACCACCACCCAGAGCATACGGTAGGTAGTAGTCACAGAGCACCCAGGCGCTCTCTTTCCATTTCCCACCAGATTTCACTCGACCACGTCCAGAAAAGAAGCCCCAATAGAGGCGATGAGGCTCCTTGGCTCTCAGCTCTTCCACGAGCACATCCAAGCGTACGAAGGTATCGTCATCGGCCTTCAGGGCAAACTGGAAGTCCAGGTGCAGATCCAGCCAGACGTACGTAGCCAGGACTTTAGCAGTCAGGTTCTCGTAGGAATCCCGCAGCTCGGGCAGGAGGAGGAGGTCTCTGTGCCGGCTCTGCTCCAGCTCCAGGCTACGAAGCTCCTCTGGACCGAGCCCACCCGTCCCGATGACGAAGCGGCTCCAGATGTCATCGTGAGGGGGGCGGCCGGGCCACGTGCTGCGGATGATGCTGCGCCGCTCGCTGTACTTGGGGCCGCTGGTGATGAGCACGGCCAGGAAAGCGGAGTCCTCAGGGGAGGCTGGTGGGGCTGCAGGGGGAGGCGGCCCCCGGGCACCCCGCGGTGGCAGAGCCGCAGGCTGGTTGTGCG